CAAAAATGTATTATGTACGTGCTTATATTTTTAAAAAGACAATAACAGGATAAAGCATAAAACACATTTAAAAAGACCTATAGGGAGGAGGGGGATAGAAGGTGAACTTTGAGTACACCTTGTTGTGTGGCTTTGTAATACATAAATATTTGACTATTGTAAAACACAATTAAAATTTTTAAAAGAAATCCCTAAAAATGAAAATAAAATGAAGCAAATGAACCTATGAGTTCAGTTGGGTGGCATACACAGAAATTAAAACTGGTAATTTGATTGTATATCACTATAGGGATACGCTCTGAGGATAAAAGAACTGTCCTGTCCAGTAGCCCCACTCAAAAAAAAAATACCCTAAGCTGTTTTCAATAATTACATTATTGATGGTACTATGATATTATTATCACTATTATTAGTAGTAGTATTACTGTTATTCTGAGACTTGTATATGTTCATTATGGGATAAATCAAATGAATAATAATATTGATGTTGCTGAGAAGATCTGGTTAAAGGAGATACAAACGTAAGACTGATGAGATGATGTAAGAATTCTGTAGTCCTGATTGTGAGCTGGAAGTATCAGTATGAACTCCACATGTTTTCTTAAGAGAAAGAAAATGGTGAATGTGCGAGGCACGCACACACACGCACATCTCCTAGCTCTGTTCACTGTAAGGCCTAGAAACAATGACCATCCTATTAGGAACAAGTACCCCCGGCAATCGGATTATGAACTCTAAATACCATTCCCACCAAAGGAGTCAGGCTTCCTTGGCAAAATGGCTGAGTCCAAATTTGATGCAGCAAATAGAAAAGATGAGCCTAGAACATCTTAATTAAAAAAAAAAAAAGTGTCAAGGACTACTAGGGTCATGCCCAAAGGACTCAGAAGCCAAGCAGAAAAAGCTTTCTATCATCAAGTGGAGCATCGATAAGGATAACGATAGATTGAAATATAACAACTGTGTTGAAATCTATGAATTCCTAGTAATATTTAAAAACAATCCTAAATAACCCATTAGTCACCTTTGGCTGATGTTAGGGAAATACCTTATTATTTTGAAAACTAGTTAACAAAAGAAAAGAAAGGGGGAAGGGGATAGAGGTCTAGTTAAAACAAGATTGGCCTTGTATTGAAAATTTTTGAATAGGGTGAAGGATAGATCAATTTCATTACATTATTCTTTCTTTGGAAAACATTTTCAAAATAAAAAAAAATTCAAATGATAGAACAGGTCAAGAAACAGAAAAACATTAGAATGTTAATTCTTGAAACTCTTCTGAACCATCGTCATTTAATCCTTACAATAATCCAGCATGACTGATGATATAGATATTATTATCTCCATTTCACACCTGAGAAATAGGTATAAAGGATCCTCTGAGTCGAGATTCAAACCCACATGTTCTAACCCAAAGGCCCATGATTTCACAGTTGCCTCTTCAATATCCTCATTTGTATATTTGGGTTAATAACACTTTCCTTGCATATATGAGGGTATCAGAGGGCTTCAATGAGATAATGTATAGGAAAATATTTGGAAAACAAATCTTTGTACAAACATTTTACTGCCATTTGAAAACTGGAGATCAGATCTACTCTATGGGATTGCTGTGAGGATCTAATAAGAGCTGTGCTTTGCAGATAGATGGACACACATACAGACAGACAGAGAATCCTTAAAGATGTGTAAGATTATAATCACCACTGATGTTTTTAATCATCATTCATAGGACTTCAGTGTCAAATGAGAAGTGAGACTTAGAATCCAGGGAATAGGAAGGTTCCAGGAAGGACACCCAACACTCCGGGGAGGGGCAGGGACCAAGAAGACACCTAATATCCTGCAGGCTGCAAGCAGAACGGCTCTGGGTCACAGAAGGGTGGACACTACAGCCAGCTCACTGCGCGCCTCAGGCACTGCCCCCAGATTCTAGGTCAGGCAAGGCATCCAGGCAGCAGACAGGTGCTGGGTTCCTCTGAACGACATAGGGACCGGCGGTGGGCACAGAAAGTGCGGAAGATGCTCTCCAGCAACAAGAAGAGGACCAAACTTGTCAGACGGAGACGGGATTTCTGGGGTTGCTAACCAGATCCAAAACTGCTCTCTCTCTCTCTCTCTCTCTTCTCTCTCAATATCTGCCTGGGGATTCTTTGCAGATCTCTCCTCAGCAAATGTTTAATTCAATCCCTATCAAAATCCCAGCAAGATTTTTAGTAGCTATAGATAAGATTATTCAAAAATCTATATGGAAAGAGAAAAGAACTAGAATAACTAAAACAATTTTGACTTTTTTTTTGTCTTTTTCCGTGTCCGGCAACGGATCGCAACCCTCAGTGTCGCCCCCGTACCG